CAGGACCTCATGCATGCTAAGCACACACTCTACCACTGAGCTCTACCCTTCCCCCCAGTTCTGTCTTCTATTTCTGAACACATTGACTGCCCACTGTAGGTCGGGTGCCCCTGAGGAAACACAACTGTTGCCCAGATTTGGGTGACCTGGCGATCAACATGGTAAGGAATGACCATACTGTTTTCCATAGTGACTGCACCATTTTGCATTCTCACTGACATCGCACAAGGGTTCCAGTTTCTCCATGTTGTCACCAATACGTTATTTTCAGTTTCGATAGTAGCCGTCTGTACGGGTGTGAAGTAGTGTCTCATTGTGGCTTTGATTTGCATTTCCCTAACTTCTAGTGATATTGAGGATCTTTTCATGTGCTTATTGGCCATCTGTGTATCTTCTTTGGACAAAAAAAATCTATTTAGGTCCTTTGTCTATTTTAAAATAAGATTGATTTGTTGGTTACGGAGCTATAGAAGTGAATTCTTCATATATGCTGGATATTAACTCCTTGTCACGTACATGATTGCAAATATTTTCTCCCATTGAGTGGGTGGGTTGAGTTTGCACTCTGTTGATTGTCTCCTTGGATGTACAAAGTTTTTAATTTTGAGAAAATCCAGTTTATCCATTTTTTCTTTTATTGCCTGTGCTTTTGGCATCATACGCCATAAATCATTGCCAAATCCAATGTCAGGAAGCTCTTCCTCTATGTTTTCTTCAAAGAGTCTTACAGTTTTTAGGTCTTAAATTTAGGTGTTTCATCCATTTGAGCTAATTTTTTATATGGTGTTAGGTAAGAGTCTAACTTCAGTCTTTTCTGTGTGGAATCTTGTTTTCCCAGCACAATTTGTTGAAAAGACTGTCCTTTTCTCATTGAATGATCGTGGCATCCTTGTCAAAAATCAACTGACACTATATGTGAGGGTTTATTTCTGAGCTCTGTATTCTGTTTCATTGCTCTGTAGGTCGTCTTTATGCCAGAACCACCCTGTTTGGCTCTTGTAGCTTTGTAGTACGTTCTGAAACCAGGAAGTATGAGAATAGGTTAAATTTAATACTGGTAAATATAAGCAAGGCTCTGCATTTGGTTTACACAATCACATAGGAAGAGGATGGAAAGGCCTCCGCTAGCAGCAGGTCTGTGGAAACGTTCTGGAACATTCATTTGTGACAGGCTGAGTGTGAGCCAGTAATTAGATGTGCTGCTTATTTATTCTTTTTTTTTTTTTTTTGGAGGTTAGGTTTTGTCTTTTATTTTGTCCAGTGTAACTTAACTACAGTGGCTTGCAAACTTTTTAGTTACCTAAAAATAACATTTACTACCACGATCCAACACACACACACACACACACACACACACACACGTATATAACTGAAACCAAAGTTTTGCCAAAAATGTCTACCCTGAGTTTCTTTGCCTTTAGGGCTATTTTTTTTTAAAGCAATTTTATGTTTACAACAAAATTGACAGGAAGGTATACAAATTTCCCATATACTCCCTCTCTATACATTGCCTATTTATTCTTAAACTACTCTGTCAGAGGCGGGATTCCCAGCCCAGTGGGGAGTGGGGAAACTTAATATACACTTTAGTTTTATTCTCTTTCCCTCACCCGCACCTTAGAGAGGATGAAGTCTAAAACTTTTTGTAATGAGTGTGCATTTCCCAGGGAACCACCCAGCAACACTGCACAGCTTTTGAAAGCAGCTTTTCTGAAGTTTAGGCTGCTCATCCAACTGTGCCTAGACTTAGCTTGTCTCTGCCACTGGGCCCTGCGTGAGCTTCTGCCAGTTCCTGTCCTCTCTGTGCCAGTCTCCTCCACACGGGCAGGTGGTTGGCACCGCAGCAGGGAGTCTGACTTATCCTCTGTGTTCACCTTCTTGCATTTGGTGATCCTCAGAGTGACCTGCTGACTTTGTTCTCCAGTCAGAGAGGACATCTGTGAACAAAGACAGTTTGATTTCTTCCTTCCCAGCCTGTACCTTTTAGTTCCTTTTCTTGTCATTGTATTAGCTAGGACTTCAGTACACTATTGAGAAGCAATAGTGAGAGGGGACATCCTTCCCTTGTTCCTGATCTGAGGCAGTCTTAGAACTTCTTACCGTTAAGTATGATGTTAGTGGTAGGTTTTTTGTACACGCTCTTTATCAAGTGGGAGAAATTCCCCTCCATTTCTAGTTTGCTGAGAGCTTTTGTCATGAATGGGTGTTGGATGTTGTCAGATGCTTTGTCTGCATCTGTTGATAAGATCATGTGATTTTTCTTTTCTAGCTTATTAATGTGATGGATCACAGAAAATGACTTTTGAATATAGAGTCAGCTTTGCATACGTGGGGTAAATCCCACTTGCTTTTGGTGTATGATTCTTTTCATACATTATTGGATTTGATTTGCTAATATTTTGTTGAGGACTTTTGTATCTATGTTTATGCGTTTTTTTTTAATTACCTTTATTGTGATATGATTCCTGTACAGTAAACTGCACGTATTTCAGATATACAGGCCTTTCCTTTCTTGAGGTTGCTTTGGTTTTGATACTAAGGTAATGCTGCCTTTTAGAGTTGGTTAGGAAGTGTTTTCTCTTTCTGGAAGAGATTATAGAGAATTAGTGCAATTTCTTCCTTAAGTGTTCGGTAGAATTCACGAGTGAACCTGTCCGGGCCTGCCACTTTCGGTTTTAGAAGGTTATTCCTGATTCAGTTTCTTTCATAGATCATATGCCTGTTCACACTGTCAGTTTCTATTTATGTGAATTTCAGTAGATTGTGTCTTTCAAGGAATTCCACTGGGGTTTGAGAACATACTTGGTATGGTTTCTGTTCTTTGAAACTTGTTAAGATGTGTTTTGCGGCCTTCAATGTGCTCTGTCTTGGTGAATGTTCATGTGAGCTTGAGAAGAGTGTGTGTTCCGTTGTAGGATGGAGTCATCTGTAGATGTCAGCTACAGCCAGATGATTGGGGGTGTTCACCGTTTCCTTAATCATTTTCTGCCTGCTGAATATGCCATTTCTCAGAGAGGGGTGCTGAAGTCTCCAGCTGTAATAGTGGATGCATCTCTTTCTCCCTGTGGTTCTATCAGTTTTTGCCTCGTGTTTTCAAAGCCCTGTTGTTAGGTGCATACATGTTAAGGATTGCTATGTTGTAGAGAAATGACCCTGTTTTTATTATACCCCTCTTTAAAGTGGGTGTCTTATACACAACATATGATTGAGTCTTAAATTTTTTTATTGAGTCTGACAGTTTTTATTTCCTAATTTCATTTCTTGGTATATTCAGACTATTTGTATTTAAAGTGATTATTGGTAAAGTCAGATTAATGCTTGTGAATATCACCATATTTGTAGTTGTTTTCTGTTTATTACTCTTGTTCTTTCTTTCTTCGTTTCTTTTGTCTTCTCCTTGTTCACTGTTTCTGTTGGAGCTCTTAGCATGTTAATCATGGTTGTGTTAACTTCCTGGTCTGATAATTCCAGGATCATGTTAACTTCCTGGTCTGATAATTCCAGAATCTCTGCCATACGGGTCTGATGCTTGCCCTGTCTTTGCAAGCAATGTTTTTTTTTTGCCTCTTAGCACGGCTTGTCATTTTTGGTTGAAAGCTAGGCACGGTGATTCAGATAAAAGGAGCTGAGGTAAAGAGGCCTTTCATGTGAGGCTATGTATTTATCTGGTCAGGGGTTAGGCTGTGCTTCCTGTCGGCTGTGCCATTAAGTAGGGTCTGATACACACCATCTCCTGTCGTACAGGAGCCCATAGGTGGGGTGGGGGTGCCGGGAGAGTGCTCTCTAGTCCTATGATTGGTAGGTCTCTGTTCTCCAGGGGCTCGTGTCCCTGGGCTGTGACAAGTCACAGGCACTTCTCACTTCTGGTTTTCCTTTCTTAGGAGAGACAGAGCTGCTGGGGGGGGCTGGAGTTGGGTTTTTACCTTCCCCTACGTGGGTCAGGTCCTGATAAAATACTTTCCCTTGAAGGAAGGCCCTTGTTAAGGATAACAGAGTTCTGGTCATAGTTTAAAGTGATATCTGGCCAGAAACAAGAGGGGATTTTTCTCTAGTTTCCCTGAGAACCCTGTGGGGCTCCTGGACTGGAACCCACATAAGCATGGGGCCCATGTGCCTGGCCCCCAGAGTTTTGTCTCAAGCTCGTCTGCGCGCATGTCCAGCCCTTGGTCACTTTCCCTCCCGGTGCACCTGCCACGCTGGCCCCCGTGGCTTCTCCTGGGGCCTGGGTTCTCTGTCCCCCGTTGCTCTCTGCAGTTTATGGGGCAGTCGTTTGCCCTGTGACCTCGTTCTGTGATCGATCTGAGAAGACTTGGTGATTTTCAGTTTGGTAGCCTTTATCTCGTGAGAACGGGAGTGGAGACAGGAAGCCTGTCACACTTGTTAACAGCCGCCTGCAACATTCGCGTTAGTGAGAGATTGAGAAATGTCGAGTGGAAGAGATCTGTTCTTGGAAGGAAATCAGTAAACCATTAAAACACATTCAGACCCTGTGTTCATTGGCAGAGCTGTGGCGTGAGCACTGCTGGCTGGCACTGGGGCTGCACCGCGTCGGAGGTTAGCCAAGTGCCCGGCGGCCTCGTGTCACTTCATTTCTCTGCGCTCGTCTCGCAGCCGCCTGGCCCTCGGATGTGGTGCGTCTGTTTTTAGCAGGATGGTACAGGGCCGTTGTTTTCCGTTTCCAGCGCTGACCCAGAAACACAGGCCACTCTTGCCTGTCCTTCTAGTGTCTGGATTCCACCAAGCTAGGTTTGAGGGGTCCTTGGCAGGGCTTGTGACGACGGTGCAGTGGGAAGAGTGGGAGTGTTCCCCTCAGCCTGGAGAGATCTCTCTAGGAGTCTGGAGCACGCCTCCTAGAGGAGGGCCTCCGCTTCGAGCCAGAGCTGCGGGCCAGCAGGCCTGGTGGCCGGGACCTGCGGGCTCGCGCTGCGCCCCCTGCAGGCCCATGATGCTGCTGGCCGATCTTCCCTTTCTCATGGCACTCTCTCTCCACTTTCTTTCAGTACTTAGGTCAGTTAACGTCCATACCAGGATACCTGAATCCCTCCAGTAGGACCGAAATCCTGCATTTCATAGACAATGCAAAGGTAACCCTGTTCTCCCGACTCCAGCCTCCCACCCTCTGCCTGCTCCGTCTCCCAGCCCTGACCTCTGACCCTCCGCCTGCTCCACCTCCCAGCCCTGACCTCTGACCCTTGGCCTGCTTCACCTCCTCACGTGACCTTTGACTCTCATACCCTGACACCAGTTCCTGGTCCTCTGACCCTGCCTTCTTTCGTGGCCGTGAGGGATGACCCAGTCCCATCATGTTAAGGGTGCACTTGGCACTTGGCACTTGGCCATAAAGACTGTTCCTCAATCTGAGCATTAAGTTTTTTCTCCAGATTGGCTCCTCGTGGTTTGGGGCTGTTCTCAAAATTCAATTTTTGAGATATCCATATCACATGCCCGAGGTCTGAATCTAAAGGCAGTTCCAGATGGGAAGCCCCCGACCTGGTTTGAACACAGCAGCGCCCCCGGAGCGAGCATGGCTGCACCAAGGGGAGCAGCACTCAGCTGTCAGCGCTGGCTGTGTGCGGGGTTCCCGAGGGCGCTCGCAGCTGGGGCCCTGCGTTTCTGATGCCCTGTGTTCCTTCCAGAGAGCCCACCAGCTCCCCGGACACTTGACCCAGGAGCATGACGCTGTGATCAGCCTGTCTGCCTACAACGTCAAGCTGGCCTGGAGGGACGGGGAGGACACCATCCTCAGGGTCCCCATCCACGACATCGCCGCCGTGTCCTACGTGCGGGATGACGCCTCGCACCTGGTGATCCTGAAGACAGGTAGGGCCCCGGGAGGCGGGGTCAGAAGGGTCCTTGGCAGAAGCAGCCCGACGCCTGTGTCCTGAGGAGTGAGTCTCTGGATTTCATGGAGCTCTGGAGACAGTTTCCACAGCAGTGGGGCAGCTGCTGCTGCCCACTGTGTCCAGGAACCAGCCCTCCTGTCCCTGAGGTCAGCCCGGCCAGTAAAGGACAGTGACCCAAGAGGCCATGAGGAACAGGTGCTGAGCTCAGTCACTGTCTCTCTGAGCCTTGTGGGCCTGCGATCTGCTTGGCACAGCCCACTGGGGGGCTGGAGAGGCCTGTGGCACCCAGGCGTGGCAGACCCCTGGGAGCAGGCGGCACCAGGGGCTGTGGGTGAGGCCTCAGTTCAGCCAGCGAACATTTGGGCCCTGCCTTTGGCCACGCAGCCTTCCTATGGCTGGGGTGCCAAGATGAGACCAGACCATCAAGGAAGGGAGCTCCCGGTGTGCAAGACATTCTGAGCGTGTCCTCGTAGGAGAATCAGAAAGAACCTTAAACCCACTGTTGGCTCCCTTCGCCCAGCCCACCCCTCACCTGGTGACGAGGCGCAGTGCCGCCTGACCAGGCACCCCCGGACGAGCTGCCTGGCAGGTGCCCTGGCATCAGTCACTGAGAAGTGAGGAGAGAAATTGGGGTTTCACTCAGGCTGTGCCCTTCCTGTGTGGGTTCCGAGGTTGTCGCTGCAGCACTGACGCTGTCCTGGGCTCCGATGGTGGCTGGGTTGAGCCGACCAGCCGTTCATCTCCAGAAGGCCAGTGGTGGCGTGTGAGGGTGGCCAGGTGGATCTGCCTGGGCCACACGCTGTACTTCAGACGGTGCAGAGGGAAAGTTGTATTTCTGCTTAAGGTCGGTAGTTCATGGGGGAATCCGAGGACTTTTGAAGAGCCAGGGCCCTGGTGAGCTCTCTCGTGACTGACTCCTTGAGCTCCAGCGAAGTCAGATTCAAGGGCCCATGAATCTGATGGGGACACCGTGGGTTCCCTCACACTGGAGTGGTTTGTGAAGGTGGCTGTCGGAGTTATTATAGCCCCTCTGCTTCGTGTACCCCCAAACACACACACACCCAGAGTTACACAACACAGTCATGCTCACACTCACCACACAGACTCCTGACACCTCGGACAGATGCTCACATGTGCACGCACACGCTCAGGTACCACATACTGGCACACACCCCCCTGCTCTGTGATCCTGCGCTTCTGAGCGAGGTCCCCTCTGTGCTCTTCTTGTTCCTCATTTCCCTTCGTTGTTCAGTGAGCAGCGACTGTTTAATGACAGACATGATTTTAGCTTGAACAACACAAATCTACCAGCATTTAACCATTTTAACCTACAAAGATGACCGTTTAATGCGGCTGAAACTAGTAGAAAGCATGTGACAAGAATGATCTCACTTAATTTCCACCGTAAACCTATAAGGAGGATTCTGTTTACCTCCAGCTTTACGGATGGGGTCACTGGGAGCAGGTAGGCTGAGTGGCCAGGGCACCCAGTTGGTGGCTGGTGGGCTGGCTAGTTGAGGAACTGGCTGTGTAACTGCTTCCTCCACTGCCGCCCAGGCCTTGGTGACGGCCGTTCTCCTGCCCTCAGACGGTTCCCACAGGAGGCCTGAGTTCTGGGGCCTCTCTGGGGCAAAGCAGTGAGGGGAGCACTTCTGGTGGGGAGCCTGCAGGCGTGTGGGCCGGCAGGAGTGGGGCTGGCCCTTCAGTTTCTTTGTGTTCCAGGACATTTCCCAGCGTTAATCATAGGACACATTGCTAGGAACATGGGCGACTGATTTAAGAGAGAGCGTGCATTTCATAGAAGGAACTTTCCAAAAAGAATTCAAAACCAAGACCCAGGGCTTTGAGAGCTTCCGAGTTAAAGGAAGAGAGTAAATCCCAGGCCCAGAGCATCTTCCTCTTCTAGCGGATTGCCCTGAAGGGAAGTCTCCAATCTCTCCGAGGCTCCTGCGCACATCAGGCATGCTGTGTGTGGGATACGGAATGCAGCCATCCTCAACGCAGGAGCTGACAGTGGTAGCTAACACTTACGTAGCGCCAGCTGCATGCAGGCACATCTGTATGCCTCTCCCGGCCCGGGGTTCGCTGACGTTTGAGACAACGTGGGGAGGGAGTGGAGGTTGGGGTCAGGTCTGGCTGCAGGGGGTTCCATGTGGCAGGCACGGCTTCGAGGGCGGGTGACCAGGTGTCTGTTTGTGCCAGGATGCAGAGGGACATCTCGCTGATGGATGTTTCTGTGGACCTAGGAGAGTGGACAGTGGACCTGAACTGAGACTTGTGGGGACAGTCCGTGACTCTGGCTGGATGCTGCTGGGGGATTGGAAGTGGGCTATTTAGAAACAGTGCACACTCGCTGTGCGTGGCACTGGAGCCACACGTCTGCTTCCTTGAGAACAGCCATGCGTGCTGGCTGCAAAGCTACCTGAAATGTTCTAGTAGTCGTGTTAAAAAAAAAAGGAAAAGGCAACAAGTGAAATCAGTGTTGCTAGTACATTTCACTTAGTTCTCTGTATCAGACGTCACATCAGCAGAGTCACTGTACAGTGACTGAGACGTCACACGTGCGCCTTAGCACTAACTCCGAGACCCCGTGTGTAGTTTACACTTCGGGCACGGCTCAGTGCCTGGGGCCCGTGACTGTGTGGGACAGTGCAGTCCCAGGGTCTAACTGTGGGATTTGCGGAGCTCAGCCTCCACACAGGGTGTCAGGCTGCCGGCTGCTGCCAGCCCTGCCCTGGCAGGGCCATCAGCCCCAGGTCTGGCCGTTACTGGCCGGGCTCCTGTCTCTCGGCCCTGACTGAGCTTTGGGTGTTCCTCCTCCTGGGGTGGACTGGCTCCAGGGGAACTCGAGCCTTCACTTCCAGTTCCTGCTCCCAGGTCTGTCTGAGCTTATGTGTCTGGAGCGGTGTTCCTGCAGACGCTCCCCAGGCACCCTGGGTCCCCCCCACCACCTCGTTCCTGCCTCAGGCGTGTCGGAACCCACCCTTGCATCCCATGAGACCTCGCGTCTGAGGAGGCAGGCAGCGTGTCGAGTGTTAGCAGCACAGGCGGGGGCTGTCACGGCGAGATCCTGGCCCGGACTCTGCCTCTCACACACCCTTGGGCCTGGCCCTTTGCCCCCTATGCCTCGGTTCCCCCGTCTTCTGTCAGGATTGTATATTAACCCCGGGACTGGGACCCTCTGAGTACCGTCCTTTGTATAGATCAAAAAGCAGCTGAATGCCGGCGATTTCACATCTCAGCCTACGATGCTCGCGCTCTCTTTGGCAGAGATGCTAGAAGGTCATGTGAGGTGATGGTTTTGAGGGGGCAGTGTCAGGGGCGCGTGATGGTGACAGCTTGCTTACCTGTTCCTTCGCTTGTTTAGAGAAGGTGGGGGAGGCGGTGTCCCTGGCTCAGGCCTTTCCCCACCTGTCGGGCAGGGGCCGCCCACAGCCTGCTCTTGAGCTCCCACACCTGCCCTAACCTGCCGTGGTGTTGACTTCTCAGCCCAGGACCCCGGCATCTCCCCCAGCCAGAGTGTGTGTGCAGAAAGTTCCAGAGGCCTGACCACGGGCTCCCTGTCGGAGAGCGGAGTAGGGCCTGTGGAGGCGTGCTGCCTGGTGATCCTGGCCGCAGAGAGCAAGGTGAGTGGGGTTGGGAACTGGGACCCAGGCCCCGCCCACACCTGTCCAGGCCCCACCCCAAGTCCCACCGAGTCCCAGAGTCTGATGCCTCCCCGCTGGTTCTTTCTTCTCTTGGTGGGCTCCCCCTCCCTCCCCTACGCTGATGGGGGCCATCGTCTGCACCCCAAGTTGTGCCCTGCGGGAAGATTCTTGGGAGTGGTGAGTTAGGGTTGGGGGCCCCCCGTTAGCTACCCAAGAGCCGCCAGCCTTTGGGGGCCCCTTGATCCCCTTCTGTTTAGTTTCTGCATCTGTAAGAGCAGAGTAGGGACACCCCACCTTAGGTAGCTTCTGATCAGCGTTCCCCCCCCAGCTCTGCCCACCTTTCAGCTGGGTAGTTCTTCCTCATGGAGCAGCCTCCCTGGCCTGACCCCACTGGAAGCCCCTCTAGGTATTGCCCATGTCCTGGGAGCATAGCTGCCCTAGATGGGACCCTGCTTGACTAGCATATGTGGGAAGCCATTTTGCAGTGTTAGGAATGCTGTCCGTGTGACCTGGCACGGATGCTCTTCCCAGGCTGGGGCCGGAGAGGTGGGAGGGCGTTGGCCGGCCAGGACTGTGGGGAGGGGTCTGGAGAGCCTCCGGGGTGTGGGCTGCTGTCCTTGCGGCCCCTTGGGCCAGTAGGGGGCAGAGGGCACCAAGTCTGGGTGTTTGTTCGGCATCTGAGGTGGCAGATGCCTGCGAAGCTGCCCAGGAAGGCTCAGCCTTGTCCTCCGTTGGCAGGTTGCCGCGGAAGAGCTGTGCTCCCTGCTCGGCCAAGTCTTCCAGATTGTGTATACGGAGTCCACCATCGACTTCCTGGACAGAGCCATATTTGACGGGGCCTCGACACCCACCCACCACCTGTCCCTTCACAGTGGTATGTGAGCAAGGGGGCGGGCGGCCCCGCCTCCCCTTCCCCACCAGGGCTTTGCTGTGAACTGGGAGCCTGCGTCCTCCCAGAACCCCACCCTGGGTAGCTCTGTTGTGTGGTGACACTGTTGCCACCATCCTGGGAGGTTCGAGCCAACGGCCTTTGTTCCCAGACTTCATTGTTCATGTTAATCCGTGGGTTTAGTCAAGGCAAACGCCCCTCCCCTCCCCTTTCAGGCCCCTGGTGGCTTCCTGTATAACTCTGGGGGACGGGAGCATTTTTTTGGCACCACATGTAGCTAAAGTCACTTCGCCTAACTCAGACGAAGGCTGCCCGGGGATGGGGGGCGGCAGGAAGGATAAGAAGGAGCCCCGAAGGCTGTGCTCCTGCCGGGCGCCCTGGGAGCATTCTCAGGAATCCGTTAGTGCACACACGACACTTCGTTTCTGCATAGCCTGCTCTAGCTGAATCTTCTAAACACCGAAGGCACCTGCCTTTCAGAGATGTACTTGATCGAGGATTCATGGCTTCTGTAAGTCAGAGGGGCAGGAAGAAAGATGCTGGAGACAGCACAGCTGTAGCCTCCGGTGCAGAAAGAAAGCCTCTGGTCTTTCTGTGGAGATAGTCCCAGCCCTGCACCCTTCCCCAGCGGTTCGCACATCTTGGCGAACAGCATGGAACCCTTTGCATGTTTGCGAAGCTTGGGGGGCTCTTTGAGGAAGGCCTTATCTCAGGGCTGGTTCTCCCACCTCCTCCTCCTCCTTGTCTTGCTGCTCATGCTGGAGCCGCTCACGGCGCCACAGAGACAGCCCAGCGGAGCCGGCAGTCTGTCCTCACGTGCAGGTGGGGACATTGCAGCTTCCCCAGTGGGCAGCAGGTGGTTTACTGAGCTGTATTCAAACATTCAGCTTTGCTGTGATTGCTTTGGCCCCTGTGCATTAAAATTTCCAGTAGGGTCTTTTTTTTTTAAATAAACTTTTTCACTAAAAAGTACATAAATCATAAGTATACAGTTGAATGAGTTTGCACGAAGTAAACACAGGGTGTTCATGATCAGGGCCTCCCTGAGTGGGCTTCCTCCCTGCCAGCCTCCTCTCTGCCCGGGTGTCCTTTGTGCCCCGTCCCTGTGGGTAGGTCTCCCTGTGGGATCCACGCAGGTGCACATGCACACGTTCCACGCATGCACCTGTCTCATACATCACACATGTGCGCACGTCACACGCACCACACTTGCGTGCATGGCTCTTACATCACATGTGCACGTCTCATGCATCGCACACGCACACACTCATGCAGCATACCTGAGCACTCACTACACGTCACACACGTGCTCACATACACACACATCCCCGCTCGTGAGCGTACACGTTAGACGCTCGCACACACACTCCACATTCACATCACACCCCTTACGTGCACACACTCAGACACGCATCCTCTGTTGGTTTCTGCCTCGGGGCCTGCCGGGTCAGTCCTCTCCTGCTGCTGTGACAGGTCACCATGACTGAGCAGCTTAAGCCACACAGATTTAGTCTCTAACAGTTCTGTTGATTGGAGCCCAGTGCGGGTCTCACTGGCTAAAATCAGGGTGCAGGCCGGCAGCCTTCCTCTGAGGCTCCAGAAGCCATTTCCTGCTTTCCAGCTTCTGGCGGCCTCCCTCCCTCCGTTGTCACAGCCCGGGTGGCATCCCTGACCTGTTGTCACAGTTCTCTCTGCCCCTCTGCCCCCTCCATGCTGAAGGGCCCGGGATTCACGTCGAGCCCGCTTGGATGGCCTGGGGCTGCCTCCCCTGTTGTTGGGTCAGCTGCGCAGCAGCCACCGCCCCCATTGCCGTGTCACTTAGCACGTGTGCAGGTTCTGGGGTTTGACACGGGCATCTTGGGACCGTTCCTCTGCCCACCACACACTCTTTCCCGCCACCAGGAGTGGCCTTTTCTCTCCCCGTCCTCTCCTACAGTCCTGTGCTTTCTGCCCCTTTCTCTTAAAGTGGCCCTCGCTGCATATAACCGTGCCTCGGTGTCCCTCCTGGCCTGTGTCACGTGGACCTTAGGTCATCCTTCAGTGTTGCTCAGGTAGCTGCTGTGTACTGGGCCCTTTGCTGATCTGAGAGTCTCGGACACCCCGAGGCCCTGTCTCTGTCCTTGGGGAGTAGCCATCCATGCGTGGTGCCTGGTTGCGTCCAGGCCGGAGGGTCAGACCTGCTGGCTCCGATCGTGGCCTCTGCCCTCACCAGCTGTGTGACATGGGCAAGTTGCATAACCTCCCTGATTCAGTTCCTCATCTAAAAGTTGGGTCAGAGAAGACAGAAGTCACACAGCCCCTCGGACGCTGCCAGGTGTGGTGCCCACGTCCACAAATGGTGCTTTTCTTGTCCCTGAACACTGGGACACGTCCTCCAAAGACCAGAGCGTTGCCCCGGCTCCTGCTCAGACCTGTAGCAGATGGTGCATCTCACAGGACCCCCAGGAGGAGCAGGTGTGGCTGTGGCCCGAGGGGTGCACCCCAGGGGCCTGGCCTTCAGGCTTTCCGTCACCAGGGCTCTGGACCTCCTGTTTAGAGCTTGGACACTGGACTCAGTGCCCCCTCCCTGAGATAACCAGAAGCTTTTATGTTCTGCCCTTTCCGTACAGACGACTCTTCCACAAAAGTGGACATGAAGGAGCCCTATGAGACAGAAGCCAGCACTTTGTGAGTACCCTGTCCTGGCTGTCAGCGGTGCCAGCACATCTGCCTGGCCCCCCTCCTCGACATGGGTCCCTCCCCCACCCGCATCCTTCCACGTTGGAGCCCCGTCCTCCCGGTCTGCCTTCAGGGGCCTTCCAGCTGGCGGGCTCCCCAAGGTCACACCGGTGACATCGTCACTCCACTGAGACCCTGCTAGGCTTCTGGCAGCTCCTGGGTCTTTCCCTGCATGTGTCCTTCTCTCAGACCCTCGTCCTCAGTGGCCGCCGCAGGGGTGGAGGGGTGCAGGCACGGGGCCGGGCAGGGGTGCCGCCCGCCCACTGCTCGGCTCGTGTCCTCGTAGCTCCTTCCCCGAGTGTGCGCACGCGGGCGGCGTCTCGCCCTTGTCCTTCTGCATGCAGACGGCGCCCCACGCCAAGACGGTCAGCGAGAGCGAGCTGAGCGCCACGGCTGCTGAGCTGCTGCAGGACTACATGCTCACGGTACACCGCCACCGCCCAGCTGGCCAGGATGCCCCGGCCCCAGGGGGCCCACGTGCTCCCGCAGGCCTGGCTGGGGCCCGGGCCTTGGGTGTAGAAGCTCCCGGGGCGGGGAGAAGGTGGGGGAGAAAGGCTTGCTTCTCCACTCATGGGACTGGAGGTGAGCATGAGCGCCTCACTTGTGGCTGGGCATCACTTCCTTTCCCACCAGGAGAGTCTTTGGGGAGAGCGTGAGCTGGCCATGGGGGCTAATCTGGCCTCTGGGGCTGGATCACAGGCCTGTCCCTGGGTCTCTGGTGGTGAATGGTGGCAGGGGACTGGGTCATTCCCCAGTAGGGCCGGATGGACCTGTCATCACTTAGCACTTTCTTTCCCACTGTCCCCAACCTCACATGGCTTTGTCACCTGGCCAAGCGTCACTCTGGCCTCCAGGATGCTGGTAGATGGCCCTGGCTGTGGTATGCAGACGCACCCCGCCTGCCCGGCCCCAGCCTTGGCAGACCCTGCAGCACATTAAGGCAGACGATGTGGGCTCCTTGCTGGTCTCAGGCTCCCTGCGCGGGGATGGGGGCCTCAGGGCTGGGCTGGCACTTCCCTCCCTCCTGCCGGCCGGGGCAGCTGCTGGTCCTCTGGGGTCAGGCAGGGTGCGGGCAGGGCCGGAGCAGCACCGGTCACCACGCCCGGCTCTCTCGGCAGCTGCGCACCAAGCTGTCGTCGCAGGAGATCCAGCAGTTTGCCGCCCTGCTGCACGAGTACCGCGACGGGGCCTCGGTGCACGAGTTCTGCATCAACCTGCGGCAGCTGTACGGGGACAGCCGCAAGTTCCTGCTGCTCGGTGAGCCCGGCGGACGGCGGTCTGCGAGGGACGGGGGCTCCGGCCAGCAGGGCCCAGCGATGCTGGTCGGAGGGCTGTCCCTGGGGAGGGAGCAGGGGAGGGCCCCACGGGAGCCAGACCGAGGGCCCGGTAGGCTCTTCAGACAAGGTTCTGGTGGGTGAGCAGGAGCCTGCTGGGTGGACGGGTGGGGACGCCACTCCCAGCCGAGGCCCCAGGAGCTCAGTGTGCGGAGTCAGCGCGGCGGGCAGGGTGGGCGGAGCCTCCCACGGGCAGCTGGACGTGGCCCTGGCTGTCTGCCACCTCTGTGAGGGTGCTGACCCTAGAGAACACGGCTGGTTGACAGTGGCTGGTGGAGGCTCCTGGGTCCTGGGCCCTGTCGCCCAAAATCCAAGCAAGGTGCCCTGCTCCCTGGGGAGGGGCCAGAGCCAGATCTGCTACGTCCCGTCTGACCTCTTGCTGATCCCCCGGCCACCCTGCGTTCAGTCACCAAGGCTGGGGTCTAAGGCCCCTCTTCATGTTGTTGTCACATAGGAGGGGGTCTCTCTTCAGGAAGTAGGTGGTTACCCCCGAGATAGGAGCACAGCTGGGCAGTGAGGCCCCTGCTTGGAGCCCTGTCTCAGCCTCCTTTCTGCCCTCTCCTCTCTTCTCCATTTGGAAGCCTGTGAAGTGGGGCTTCTAAGAGGACTGGAGAGAGTGACGTGAGGGTGTGGTCCCTGGCTGGCGCCAGCCGCGTTAACAAAGGCAGGGCCTGTCCAGAGCCTCCCCCTCAACCTGCCAGGGTTGGGCCAGATGCAGGTGGGTGGTGAGGGGGGGTCCTCCGGGCCGTGGGTCCCCAGGGGCAGGCGCACGTGCACATCCTGCAGGAGGCTCGGGGTCAGCCGTGCTGCGTGCCTGCAGGTCTGCGGCCCTTCATCCCTGAGAAGGACAGCCAGCACTTCGAGAACTTCCTGGAGACCATTGGGGTGAAGGACGGCCGTGGCATCATCACCGACAGCTTTGGCAGGTACCGGCGGGCCACGAGCTCCACCTCCACCTCCACCTCCAACGGGAACAGGGCCGCAGGCAGTTCCGACGACCAGTCCGCGCCCTCGGAGGGGGACGAGTGGGACCGCATGATCTCGGACATCAGCAATGACATCGAGGCGCTGGGCTGCAGCATGGACCAGGACTCGGCCTGACGGCGCTGGGGCCCTGCGGGCCGCCCTTCCCGCGCGGGACCCGGGGCGCAGGTAGCTCTACTGTGAAGGAGGTGCCCTGGTGCTGGGGCAGAAGCTGCGCTGCGCCCACCTGCTCTGGGAGGGGTCTCGTCAGCCAGACCCCGGACAGCTGTCAGTTTTGCACATGACGTTTCTATTGAAACTCTCAGAGACCTTAAAAGAAGTTTACTGCAATGTGAATAATTTATCTTTGGTTGCCAGTGTGTTTCTGCTCCATGAGGGTAAGAGCCGGGGTGTCCACTCTGGCCTGTGTCTCAGATCCACTCGCCCAGGGCTGGGCACGGTGGTCTGGCCCCTGGGCCACCTGTCGGAACCCGGGCTGGGCTCTGTGTACAGCGGGGACCTGATTTGGGCTTATAGCTTTGTGGACACAGGGCAGGGAGCGGGTGTCCTAGGCCCTTGCGGGCGTTGAGTGTCAGGCCGTTGCTGTTGGGAGCTGGGCACCGGGCTCTCTGAGGGGCGCTGGCTGTCCTCTAGCCCCTTGCCCAAGGCCCCTGTTCCCAGGCCTCATCCCCAAAGTGGTGGTCTCCATAGCGACCCCGTATACCACCCCTTCACCAGAAGTGCCATCCCCACCCTGAGAGTGTGTCACCTGGGAGCCTGGGGCCCCAGGTCATCAGGGAGGCTGCTGGGGGAACTGTGCCCTCCCCTTCAAGCTCCTTGGCCTTGGCCACCCCACCAGGCGTGGCACCTACTGCCCTTGGGATGCAGGGAGGCAGTGCGGGTGACCCCAGGGCAGGGCACTGGGTTGGAGGCTGGGGCCTGGGGATCTGCAGTACAGGCACGAGAAGGCCTGTGTCTGGGACAGCCTCCTCACCCAGAATACACCTCCGCCTGCAAGCCCCCTGACTGCGTGAGCCGGAAGCCCTGCGCTCAGCGGGGTGGGCATTTGAGCCTCTGGGAGGGAGGGCAGGGGCGTGGGCTCGCGGCACAGCCGTGTGGGAACCAGGCAGGGGTCTGCAGTCCCTTAGGGTCCCTCCTGACAAGGGGCAGGTCAGGACATGAGGTGGGGTCCCACAGTTTGCTCTGGCCCTGGCTGTCCAGAAGCTGTTTGTGGGCCCAGGCCAGGTGACGGTAAGGGAGACAGTCGGTAGATCTCCAGACGTGTGTGCACATCGGCCTGCCCTGGAAGCATCTGGGACAGCTAAAGGTGCCATCTAGTCCAGAGGCCAGCCCCCTATAGCCCACAGCGCGCTTGTGCATGGTCAGGAATGCTCCTCTCCAGGGCCTCCATCTGCACGTGACCTCCCACTCCTGGTCTCCCTCTTCTTTCCTGGGATGTGGTCCTCACCCTGCAGGTCCCTGGACTTTGTAGAAGAGAGGAGAGGACATGGAGAGGATGGTGACTCTTAGAACCAGGCTGCAGTGAGGGGCCAAGAACTTTGGGGGATTAACTGCTGACGCCCTGAGCAAACACTGCCTTCTTGTACCTCCCCTGGCTCAGGTGCCCCTGTAGAAACTTCCTAAGCCCCTGTGTCTTGGGAGTTCCTTCTGGAAACTACAGTTCCCAGGGCCATGCCTTGGGTCACAGCCAGGTGACTGGACTGCCTGCAGTCTTTGGGCGAGTCAAGTGCCCTGGGACGCAGGGGATGTACCGCCACCCTCTGGGACAGGGGGGATGGACCACCATCTTCTGGGACACAGGGAAGGACCACCACCCTCTTAGGGGCCTGCATGGCTTCAGGAAGCATCTTCATGCCACCTCAAATCCATTTAGCCAGAGCCTACGCCTGGGGAGCAGTTGGAGGAGCAGAGAGGCGATGAGGGAACACCCATTTATTGAGCAGCAGAGTTAGGGGGCAGGGATGGAGCCAAGTCACTGGTCAGCGGCTACATTGTCAGCTCCTGCAGGAAATGCAGAAAGAGAGGGTCATTTTGGGGAGGGGCCCCAGCAGAGCCAGCAGCCGGGCAGCGCGTCTGTGAAGGGGCCTGGCCACTCACCATGATGGCGTTGACGATGTCGCTCTGGTTGTCTCTCAGGGCCCGCACGGCCTTGGCCCTTGACACGTTGGCCTGTGCCATCACCAGCTCAATGTCCCGGAGCTCCAGCCCTGCCTCATCCACCTGGAACGGGGCAAGCAGGGATGTGTGGGAGTGGTCCCCTCCCCCAGGCAGAGGCCCCCGAGATGCCCTCGGGCAAAGCTGCCCCCTTCACAAGGCTGGGCCTCACCTCCTCGTCCTCCTCCTCCTCCTCGCCCTCCTCGCACTCCGGCCTCACCCTCGGCCCAGGTGCTGACTCAGGGACCAGGGCAGAGGGCTCCGAGGGCACCTTGAACTTCTCAGCAGCAGCTCTGTGCACTTGCTGGGACAGGTCCTCGATCTGCAGCACAGGGAGCAGCTGTCAGCGGAGCCCCTTCCCAAGGCTCCCACCCCCACGCCCACGGCCCATCAGACCTTGGCCTCGCCAAAGACCACGTAGGTGTCTGAGGCTGGGCTCTTAAAGACGTCCGGCTTGGCGATGACAAAGAGGATGTTCTTGGACTTCTGGATGGTGATCCTGGTGACCCCCTGGATCTGTCGTAAGCCCAGCTTGGACATCGCCTGGGGGCACAGTGGTCTCAGGCTGGGGCATCGGCCCCAGGGGCCCCAGTCGGGGGCAGAGGAGGGAGGAGCAGGCCCAGGGGGAGGTGGCACGCTGCCAGGGGGACAAGGGCTCTGCCACTGACTCCCGGGGGCCCTCCATGGGTCCTCCCAGCTGGCTCCCCTACCCCTGTGTGCACAATAGGCCGTTGGACTCAGGCTGGGGGTGGGGGGAACACCTCAGCTGACATCCCAGCCCCAGTTACTTCACAAGGTGTCCAGGTACTGCATTTACCCAAGGGCCCCCACTGATGGGATTCGTTAGCCGTGGGGTGCGAGGGCATCCCCTTATGCCCCCAGCACCAGTCCTGGGCTGGGTGGGGTTGTCTGGCCAGCCTGGTCCCTCCCAGAGGGAGCAGGGTCCCAGCCGGGCCCCTAGCCCACCTTTCGGGCCTTCTTCTCACTGCGACTCTGTTTGGCTTTGGCGACGGTCTCCTCGCTCCCGCCACCTGCTGGGGCCTGAGGAAGAGGGGGGTCTGAGCACCTGAGGGCGGGATGTGGAGCCCTCCCAGGGGAGCACTTCCCCAATTCCTCAGGCACCTGGGCTGGGCACTGCGAGGTCTGCGGTCCTGAGAGGTCCTGCTCCTCCAGCTCAGCTGACGACTCCCCGTGGCTGTCCGAGTGCTGGCCGGAGCCGGGAGCCCGTGGTGAGTCTGAGGACAGGGGTGGGGTGAGGATGGCCTCCACCTTCTGGATGGGGGCCGGGCGGGGGAAGCAGCGCTGACTGCACCATGGAGTGGGGTCCCTGCCCGCCCGCCCACCTGCCACCTCTGGTCTCTGGCTCAGGACAGTGCTCCAGCTTGGATCCCCCTCACCTTCTTCCAAACTGTCCTGGTCATCCTGCTGCTCGGCAGCTGGGAGCCCTCGAGGGCCGGCTGGGCTCCGGGGCGCAGAGCCAGGAGGCACTTGGCAGGGGGGCGAGGTCCTCGAGGCCGGGTCTTTGGCATGGGTGCCCCCAGGGGGGGCCGCCTTGGGGCCGAGGAGGGGAGAGTGGGGCGGGAGGCTGACTTGCCCGGCCCCAGAGGGGTTCGTGGTCCCTGAGAAGGCAGCCACCGCCCGCTGGGCTCTTGCCCGGTGTGGCTTGCGGCCTGGAGAGCCCAGGGGCTCCTCGCCCTCTACCAAGGCTTCCCGGGGGCCCTGGCAAGGGCTGGGGGCAGGGGGTGCTGCAGCCAGTGGGACGGTCTCCACGGGGACACCAAGAGCAACGGGCTCAGGGCCCAGATTCTGGTCTTGGGGTGTACTGGACAGGCCCGCAGCGGGGCTTCCTGGGGACTGCGGTGCAGAGGGGCCAAGAACTCCAGGTGCTGCCTGTGCTTGCTCTCCACTGTCCGGGCCCGGCACGCGCGCTAGCCGCCTCGAGGGCGCTGGAGATGTCGGGGCAGAATGTTTGGGGCGGCTTCTTCCCAGCCTGGGCACAGCCCTCGATGGAGATTCTGAACAGGAGCCCATCCCAGACTCTGAAGCCACAGCTATGGGAGTGGCCCTTCCCTCCTCCACCGGGCTTGGGGGCCACACCTGGCTGACCTCCAGGCAGGTGGCAGGACAGGCCTCTGGGCCGCTGCTCCCAGCATCCTGGGGCACTGGCTCTAGGACTCCACTCCCTTGGTCCTCAGCCCCTAGGGCCTCCTCTGGGAGTGAGCTGGGCTCAGCTCCATCACCTCCATGCGCACGGGCATCAGGACAGGTTCTCCGCTCAGGTGTCAAAAGACCCTTGGCTGCTTCCTCCCCAGTAGAGATACGCTCTGAGGGATCTGGGGTCTCCACAGCAGGCTCAGAGGTGTCCGGGGTCTCTGTGGCAGGCTTGGAGGGGCCTGCATCTCCCTGTGAGGCCCGGGGTGTCCGACCGTCTGCAGCTGGCTCCTGGCCATCCAGATGGGGCTGATCCAGGACCAGAGAGTCTGGGTCTCCCGTGTGGTCCGGGTCCTTTCCCTCAGACTCTGGCCTCGGTCCCAAGGTCTTGCCTCCTTTCTGCTGGGCTGTGGTGACCGTAGGCTTGCTCCTTGAGGTGCAGCCTTCATCAGTCTGCAGGGCCTGAGGGCTGGCCTTGGATACAGATCCCTGGACCGAGGGGAGGGCTGTATCTTTTAGGGACAGGGATGCCATCATGTCCATTTCTTCTGGCTGGGGTTCAGGACTGGCCTCAGAGGCAGATCCTTGGTCAGAGGGGAGGGCTGCATCCTGCAGGGGCAGGGATGCCATCAGGTCCACTTCTACTGCCTGGGGTTCAGGACTGGCCTCAGAAGCAGATCCTTGGCCAGAGGGGAGGCTGCATCTTGCAGGGACAGGGATGCTGTCAGGTCCATTTCTTCTGGCTGGGGTTCAGGACTGACCTCGGAGGCAGATCCCTGGACCGAGGGGAGGCCTGCACCCTTCAGGGATGCCATCAGGTCCACTTCTCGCTGGGGTTCGGGACTGGACTCAGAGGCAGATCCTTGGCCAGAGGAGAGGACTGCATCCTGCAGGGGCAGAGATGCTGTCATGTCCTCTTCCACTGGCTGGGGTTCAGGACTGGCCTCGGAGGCAGATTCCTGGACCGAAGGGAGAGTTGCATCCTTCAGGGTGAGGGATGCTGTCATGTCCACTTCTACTGCCTGGGGTTCAGGGCTGGCCTCAGAGGCAGATTCCTGGCCTGAAGGGAAGGCTGTGTCCTTCAGGGGCAGGGATGCCATCAGGTCCACTTCTTCTGGCTGGGGTTCAGGACTGGCCTCAGAGGCAGATCCCAGGACTGA